TTTTTGTTATTCTTTATTGTGTTGACTAGCTAAAACGTGAATGGTATTTTCGGTTTTAATGAAGATTAGGGGGGGGGTTTTATCCAATTTTTTTTGTTTTTTTTTTTTAAGAGGGACCCCCTTGTTTTAAGAGAAGTGTTTTTTATTGGTGGGTTTTTAAGGGGTTGGGTGGGGGGGGGGGGGGGGGGGGAAGGGGCCTTTAAGCGGAAGTTTGTGGTATTTGGTTAAGCACTGTCGCGAATCGGTACCACCGACAAAAGAACTCACAATTGGTTGAATTGAAACACTTTTAATCTCGCTCGCTGACACCCTGATCTTGGTTCCCTTATGATTACAAAGCCATGCATTCCCATGAAACTTGCCGACAAGTTTTAATTGCTCAATACTACCCCACACATGTGCGACCCTTTTATTATATGTATAGCAACAATTTCAGGTAAAACGGTTGGACATTGAATTCCACACTTGTTATATTTTACATAATAATACCGCGACAAAAGAGTCAGCAATTGCGCCCTGATCAACTTTTAAGTAGCGGCGGGGTGGGGCGCTGTGTAAGTCAGTTCCTATACTAATGTACATTATCCTTTCTACCCCGAATTAAAAAATAATGTATTTTTCTGATGCCCGAGTTTGTTTCCGGGAAATTCCCAGTTGTTATTGTCGTTTTTTTATCGCTAGAACTTTTAAAATCACCGATACCCCACCCCCCTCCCCCCTGCTCAAAAAAAGTCAATGATATTCACGCGCTAAGAGAAATTTAGTCAGTGTAGCTGGTATTAAAGCAAAAACACGATTTCGCGTTCGCGTTTTAATTAATGAAGACGTTTATTTTACAGCAAGTACATAGGTGTTCTGTACATGCAGCCTAATTTTAATGACCTTCGAGTACATACTTTCGTTCGCTTGATGTGATACAGAATTCAAAAACAAGACTAAAACTTTGAGAATACAGGAAATATTTTGCTTTTATCTGTCAACAAAATGAGTTGACTTACGGGATACCTGGATACAGGAAATATAAAACTTGTCAGTATCAAAACAGCATGATAGAGACTTTTGTGAAACAAAGAAAAGTTTGCGGGGGAGGGATTTTTTTTCCTTTGAAATTTCTTTATATTTTAGTAAATATTTCTCATTACATTTATTTATTTTTATTTTACTTCGTTCGCCCCTCATAACTTTTAAGCTTCAGAGCCGGTTTGTGTTCGTTACTTCTGTCAGTCAACAACATTATGGCGGTGTATTTTACACGGGCTAAGTCTTTCCCCCCGTGATTGCATTTGTTTACCGGGCGTTGGTTGCCGCTCAGTAGTGTCCATTATGTTCTTCTTTGCACTGCACTACACTGTTAGCAGTTTATTTAAAAAAGTACACAACAATAGTAAGAACACGTGTACAACAAAAAAATTTTGAGTGAGTCAAAGCGTGAAGAGATAACCTACAATACATACAGAATAAGAGGTGAAAATCAAAGCTTCAGCTGAATACCTCTTCACCGGGCTAACTGTCTTTTGCGCTTCACCTCGATGAACGCGAAAATCTAACTCTCGCAAGAGACGGGACGATGGGAGACGAAACATTTTATTTGGATGGCCTAATCATTCGCAGGCGACTTAACACCGGGGACTTAACACAAGCGAAATGGGTTCACAAGCCGGATGACATCTAAGTGACAATCTTTATCTTGAACCGATCACAAAGCTCGCTACCCTCGCTACCTACGAAAGGCATCTAGCCAATCAGAACACACCTTACGAGAGCTGCTACACAACTGCTTACATTTGTAACGGCGAGGGGAGCCTCTTAGGCCTTCGTCACGTAAGTCTCCCTCGCAGCCGTTTTTTGGATGTCACGTTGCGTGACATCCAAAAAACGGCTGCGAGGGAGACTATCGTCACGTGGGAACGGAACGCCTAACGCAGAGCCAGGAGAGAAACGTTTTTACTGCCCACCCCTTCCCCCTTCTCCGGACCCTCCCTATTCTTCACCTTACTAGTCCCAGGCCGAATACCCGCTCCAGTCCTTGAAAACACTTCCGGGAAAGATTTGTCGGGGATTTGTCCAGTTTATCGTTTGCCTAACTGAGGTTTAAAAGCGAGCAAGCGGTATGGGAGACGCTTCTTCTGTGCAAGACATAAAACTCGGGGATAAAATCGGTGATGGTTCGTATGGAGAGGTTTTTAAAGCTGTTTGGAGTGGAAAGCAAGTCGCTGCCAAACGAATTCGCACGGTATTCTTCGAAGGCGATTACGACGGAAGCATCAGAGCAGCGTTCTTGGAGAAGTTTAAATCAGAATGGGAGCTTCTCAGCAATCTTAAACATCCTAATATTGTAGAGTATTACACAGTGATCCTACCTCCTACCCCAGAGACACCGATCATCGTCACCGAGCTGTTAGCATGCGACTTGGCGAAACACATTCGGGATTCGCAAAGCAAACCCAAAGTTTCTTTCTCTGAAGTGGTGAAAATTATGTTGGACGTTGCCGAAGCTCTGCACTATCTTCATNCAGCGTTCTTGGAGAAGTTTAAATCAGAATGGGAGCTTCTCAGCAATCTTAAACATCCTAATATTGTAGAGTATTACACAGTGATCCTACCTCCTACCCCAGAGACACCGATCATCGTCACCGAGCTGTTAGCATGCGACTTGGCGAAACACATTCGGGATTCGCAAAGCAAACCCAAAGTTTCTTTCTCTGAAGTGGTGAAAATTATGTTGGACGTTGCCGAAGCTCTGCACTATCTTCATTCACAAAAGCCACCTGTTGTTCACCGCGATTTGGCGAGCAAGAATGTACTGTTAACAAAATCGCTACACGCAAAGATCGCTGATTTGGGTTTGGCGAAAGTTTTTCCGCACAGTGCCATGTATGCTACAGCTGTCCCGGGAACTCCGGTCTACGCCGCCCCAGAAACGTATCCCAAGAAAATGGGAAGAACAACTAAACGAGATCAAGCAATCTACACGGAGAAAATCGACATATTCTCCTTCGGCGCTCTTATGTTGGAGACGATTATTGGTCATTTACCTGAACGCAATTTACCTGATCCGGTTCTTGAAGGTTAGTATTTGTTAGTAGACTGTCGACTGATAAAACTATCCGAAATTCCCTCGTATTGATCGTTTAGAAGTAACGTAATTATAGACGAAATATAGGTTTGGCTGCTTTGTTTGGTTACGCACTATAAACCCTCTAGTCTCTCCACTGTCACAAAATTAAAGTTTGTAGTCGTGCGGTTGTGTTTTACCTCACTTAACGTAAGCTCGCTTCCCTTACCTTAGGATTACTAAAAAAATCCATCCAGTATTAGTGACTAAAAGAGATCGACGCCGGTCTTCACAGCCGTTTTTTTAGTGCAAAGCGAAAAAATGGCACACAAAAAGAGTCACGCAATTCACCACCCGTAAAACTGCTGGCATCTGGCTTTCATGAATGCTCAACCCAGACACCTTAGTTGTTTATATTTTAGATGGCCTCCGTTGCCTTTACTGACTTCCTTCAGTATCTTGCTATCTTTCCTAAGGACCTGCAAAAAAATGAGCCCTTTCCATTATTTGACTTATTTGGCCTGGTGCCTCTTATATGAGGCAGTACCGTCGAGTTGCATCATGTAAGAAATCCGTTGAGAAGGTCCATAATATTCACTCATACACAAAAGAGTCATTAATATACCTATATCTATCAGTGTATCTCTATGATCAAGGAAATCTACCAGGCCCATGGCCATTAGGACTGAATCGCCCTAAATAAGGGAATCCGGATTCCGCAATCCTTAAAATTTTTGCTTTTGGAATCTGTTATCCCGGGCTTTGGACTCGGGAATATAGCTCAGGGAATCCGGAATCCCACTAACAAACGGAATCTAGAATCCTAGACCCACTGACAAAGACTGGAATCCAGTACCAGGAATCCAGAATCCATGGAGTGGAATCTCCAGAATCCAAGATTGGATTCCGTAACATGGGGCGAACTGAATGTTTTCAACGCAAAAGGTACAATAAACCAGTAGTTTTACTTGGTCTGATTTGATTCGATTAGACTCCATCTCCATTGAGTAACCTCTGTCAACCAGGGCACATCAGAGTGAAGGAGAAGGTGATTTTGGGCTAGCTTAGGGAGCTAATATTTTCACCCATACAGATATCGTCTAAAGTAGTGTGTAAAAATAGTTTATGCGGAAAAAATAAACTGTTATGCTGTGTTGGAGACAGTATTCAATTTTAACATATTTTGCCTAATTTTAATCACTACAGCTCTTTTAAGAAATACTGAAATAGGCAAAAAAATTGTTCCCGGGAATTGGTTGCCTGTTTCAGTATTAATTTTGTCACTACTGGGGATCAAATAAAGCTTGAGCCAGGCCATTTGGCCAAACCCGTATCTTTTACCTGTTCACACGGGTGTTACACCACAACCGGGTCGCTTCCGCGCACCTGTAATGACACAAATAGATGCTGTTCCTCTCAAAATGTGATGCGTTTCTTTTTGTGTAGATGGAGAGATTGTTCCAGAGTACATTCGCCGGAGCGAGGACCTGGAGGAGATGGGACCCGATCATCCACTACATAATCTCGTATGCCAGTGCTTTGAAAACATCCCTGAGAAAAGACCCAGTGCTACTGAAATCATTAACACCCTTCTGAAATTTACCAAAGAAATAAAAGGAAAACTTCCTAGAAAGGCCACTGGGGAAAAAGTTGGGGCTATGTCAAATATCCAATACGACCACAAGTTTAAGGTTCTGGTTTTAGGCGAATCCGGCGTTGGCAAGACGTCCATAGTAGCTCGATTCCTTGATGCTCATAGTTCGTTTCCTGACAACCCTTTTCCAAGCACCTTGGAATCTGAGGATCACTTCGAGCGTCTGCGATTTCGCGACAAGTCAGTACATCTTCACTTGGTCGATGTTGGAGGGAACAGGTTCAGCCCGGCAGCCAACTTTGCCCCGCAGATCTTCCGCAAGGTCCGGGGTGTGGTCATCGTTTTTGATCTCACCTCGCAAGTGTCTTTCTTGGAAGTTTCCACGTGGCTGGAAACCGTGAAGAAAGCCTGCCATGTGGGAATACCTATGGTACTGGTTGGAAACAAGAATGACGACTTGGACAGATGGGTTGATGGGCGGACGGTGGAGAACTTTGCCTTGAAAGAGAACTTGTTTTACATTGAGGCCAGTGCAAAAAAACGAGAGAACATTGACGAAATCTTTTCTGTTCTTATTGGTTTAATGATTGAGAATGAAAATCAGCTGGAATCTTCTCTTGATGGAAGCACGCTTCTTGACTCTCTGCGGAGAACATTACCTGACGGCGAAAGAATCGAGAAGAGCTTAATTGCTGAAAGACAGAGAAGCCCTCGGCACGAAGTTCTTGATCCTGGGGTTATAGTGTTGGAGGACACGAATGCTTCCGATAGCAAAACGGGAAACAATAGTGCAGCTAAAAAAACTGAAGATGACGGTACCAAAAACAAGAAAAGACACTGGTGTTGCTTAGTAACCTAAGAATTTCACCCTTGAAGATAAGTGTGATAGATTTTACATACAGATCAGCGGATCCAGGGCGGGTCTTGGAGGCTCCGAACCCCCCTCCCTTAAATTTATCCCATGAAACCAGAGAACTCCATTACTTACTTAACGACTTAACGTCTAAATGTTTGATAACTGAAATTGTTGCCAGTGAAGGATCATATTATAAGGACCAATGCAAGTGAAATTTCAAACAAAATTTTGCATAACCGACCAAGAAGTGTGGAAATAATCACTTTATATTATTGAATAGTATTCTCAAGTGTGTACCTCT